TGCATTTTAGGTCTCCACTCTGTCTCAGTGCTTGAGTTTTCCAGTTGGAAACAAAGAAACTATTTCCCCCAGGTGGTCATCCAAGTTAGAAAGTGAACTATGTGCTCTAAAGACCAGTCACACTGCTCAGTTTGCAGTTGGTGGTGACATGTTTTAAGTGAATGGTATTCTCAACAATGTCAGATCAGCTTCAAAATACATTCTGTAGGGAAGTCCTACAAGATGCCAGTGAAAGAATATTGTGATGAACGCCAACTCACACCGAATGGCTCACACTGAAGTTTAATAATGAAAGTTCACAATTTTTTAAGTATTTGAAATCTATAAATGTTTCTTACAAATATTTGAGCATAAAGAGAATGACCAAAAGTATTTTTCTTTGAATTGAGCACACCTATACTTGTACTTATTTACTCTGAAATGGGATAATCACCCCTTTGACAGTCTTGGAACAGAACAGACCCCTTCCTAGAATACTCTCTTTTAAATAAGTAACAGAAAACACACAGAATTATTTATTTAAAGAATTACATTAGAATACATTAGTTCAGGTTCGCAGAACTGAAGGAACTGTGGGTTTAAGTTGAGAAACTAATGTTTCATATTCTCAAATTTTATTCAAAGGTGAATTCAAGGTATTTCAAACAACATGTCAGAAAATGCCTTGGCAAACAAATTCAGACATTCATATTGCCGGGCAGGGAATGGGAATACCAGCTGAAAGAGTGGCTGTGCATTTTTGAGCTAGTGGAACTGAGGCAAAATGCACGTTGTGCCTGTCTACAGGGCATGCCACAGCACCCAGTAAATTTTTACCACATGGGAATGTGGGTCTCTAAGGCCATGAATTTCCTCTTTTTCAAGAGATGCCAGTCATTTGAACTTTCATATGAATTATTCATACTTGTTCATGTTGGTTTGAAGAAAAATTAACACTTTGGAACAAAGGAAACTTTCTTAACCAGATTTATCTGAAATGCTACATTTAAGAAAAGTGAGAAGAATTGGAAGAAATTAATTACTCATTTCATATCTTTTTATGCATTTTTTACTATCACTTTCTTTATTACATTTATTTGGAAAACATACTAATTAGTTTAAATTTAATTTCCTTCTTAGAGGGGTAGTATACTACCCTATCAAACAATGAAAGGATTCAGGCACCAAATTGTTTTTATTTCCTGAGAAACATTTGTTGCAAACCTACTCTTATGTGATAGACACTATACACCTTGGTAAGAATATAAAGATTATGACATTGATTTTATTTCTGGAGCATACCGTGTAGAAAGAGATATACCAAGTATTTTGAAACAGTTTGTCAAAACCTATCACAGAGATATGTAAAAAGTACAAAGGGAGGAAAACACATCTTCCCAGGAAATTGAAAGGGAATCTCAGAGGAGAGATCTTGTTATGTGGACCTTTGTATCAAGGGGCCCCGATTAGTAATAATAACAAGCTATTCTGAAGAACTGGGCTTTTATCCTAGAGGAAACAGACAGTCATTGCAAAATTTTTAAAGGAGAATTGATATATTAATATGTTAACTACCATTATTGCTGCAGGATGGAATTTGGTCTATGGCTGCAGGATGGAGACAGAATAGAGAATGAAACCCCACAAAATGATGACTTCAATCATTCAGACAGCGAATGAAGGTTGCATCAGGGGTCATAACTGACCTGGGTTGTAAAGATATCTGGGACATAGAAATAATGGACTTTGGCAGAGTGGTGAAGAGGGATGAGTTGAGAGTGACTCTTAAGACTCCCTTTGAGAAGTAGCATAATATAAAGTTGAAGTATAATATCTGCAACCAGTCTACTTCACTGCAAATTCTAGCTCTTCATGTATTTGCTGTGTGACTTTGGAAAAGTTAGGGACCCTCTTTGTGTCTCACGTATGTGTATGTCAGGTACTCTAATAACAGTGTTTACATTTGTGCCTGAAAATTATGGTTATTCATTATTACAATTCTGTTGAGATGGTGGTATCACTTGGCTTATTTGTCTGTTTGTTTTATAAGACTAAATATTGCATTTGAAGTTCTTTCAGAAGATTCTAGGCTAGAATAATTGAAGATGTGGATCTTCAGTTGAGAAGAAAGTTTCTTCTACACAGTGATGATGTTTAAAGCCTCTTATGTAGTTAAAATAGCTGAAGATATTTTTTTGAGACTAAATCCAGGGTTTGATGTTTAATAGATTGATAAAGTAAGAGGCTTTAGCATCTCATAGGAAAAGAGGCCAGAAAGCTAGCAGGAAAAAATCCAAAAGAGCAATGTCTAAAAATTAAAAGAAAAATTTTTAGTATAGTTAACACAGAAAATTCTATTGAGGAGTCCAGGGCAATGCTAATAAGCAAGCATTTGCATTTAAAGTTGAGAAAATTTTAATGAAATGATTTTAAATGGATACTTGATAGATGAGATAAAGAAAACAATAAAGTGTTAGTTTCTAATGTATTTCTTAGGAAAGAAGAGTAAAACAACTGTGAGTTTAAACTACATAACTTACCATACTTACCACGACAAAAAAAAAATGTTGATTTCAACAATTTCATGTGACTCAACTATACTCAGACAGAACTGAAAAGGTACTTTTAAACATTAGTAGGTAACAGCAGATACTTGTTAGGTTGTGTGTTAGGAAGCTGAGTAGGTGGGTACTTTGGTGGTGGGGGTTCTATGGTAATGACTTCTGAAGGAGGAGCCTGTGCTTCCTAAATACCAGCAACAACATTGTAAACTAACAATACATCATTAAACAAAGTACCAGTTCTTTCTTCTAAGTTTCCAAAAGAAACAGAGCTGATAATGACTGGCAGTATTGTATTGCTGTAAATAGGAGGTAGTGACTGATATTTAAATGCCATCCTTACTCTATAGCCTACTGTAGTTCTTTTCCTTGACACTTCCCCTTTGAGTTTAAAAACTGCAGGGATGAAAACTAAATGCAAAAATAATTCGAAGGGAATGATATTTGCACCTTTCCAAAGAAATGTCTTCTATTACTAATAACATTGGTATTATGAAAAAGTCTACTTATTTTGGCAGTGTAGCGTATAAAGTATAAAAGGTTAAGAGTGTTGGCTTTGGAAGCAAGCCCTGACCCTACCACTTATCAGGTATGAGACCCAGGGATATTACTTACTTTTTTAAGTCTCCATTTTCCCATATGGAATATAAAGAAGAAACAGTTGCCTCTCGGGGCTTGTTAGGGTTAGAGAAAATAATGTATATAAGGGCTTGAGAATAGTATCCCTCACAGCAAATGCTAGCTTATGATAGTTCACATTTTTTCTTTCACAGTAGGTAAGTATCCGAATGTTTGAGAGAACTATTGAAAAGAATAGGTACTTTTTAGGGTTCATCTTTTCATACACCAACAAAAATCTTTAAGCTCTTTCTAGCCCTGTCCAACCACCTGTAGTCTTTTAAGAGAACTAGCAGCCAGATTCATAACTTTCCATTATTCAAGGACTGAGTAAGCTTTGCACTGCTCATCAGTCGGGCTGGTTAATGTATTTCTCCAAATACATAACTCATAAAACAATAAACCTCAAAATTCACACCCAAGTAAAAACCATTTAACTAACTACCAAAGACTAACACATAACACATTTACTGATGATGTATACCAAGTATCTTTCTCATATCCCAAAGTTTCCTTATAAACTTGATATTTCAAAAGATAAACATTTAGTTTTAATGCATATTACTTTCACTTTTTTTCAATTAAAGCAAAATAAATGTATAAAATATACTGAAATAATCTGGTGAAAAAGTCATTTTAAGTTCATTACCTAAATTTGAAAATAGGTGGAGATATTTTATTTTGAATTAATAGCAACAGGTTAAAATTCCCTAACCTGTCATTTACTTCGCTCTTTTTGGAAAGATGACTATGATCTCTTACTGACAAATGGTCATCAAAAATGGAATTCAAACTGTTCAGGGAGATGAAATCCCATAAAGTATGATAGTGTCATGGATCTTAAAATCAAGTCACCAGTGCACATGTTCCTAATCAGACTAAAAACAAATACACAAACCAGTTTGTTCCAGCTACAGAATAATTCAATTAAAACATGCTTATAATTTAACATTATGAATAATAGTTTAAGTTAGGGAGGTAGTAAAACTGCAAGGAAATATAAACCTACAGACTCTATGCCAAGAAAAGTGTTGCAAATTCTCAAGATTGATCTTGCTACAGGTAAGTGTAAAAAAACAACACTGAACATCTCTGTAAGGCAAACATACATATGCACAACTCCACACACACACACTCACGGTTGCTTGTGCACACTAGTTAACAGCTCAGTCAAGAGAAATCCATCTAACTCCAGACTATCATTTAGGATTTAGCATCTGCTTTGGAAAAGTCAAAAATCAGACTTCTTACCAGTTTAAATTTCTTATTGAGAAGTAGATTCAGTACATAATGTGATACAGAATTAAATCAGCATGCACAGTAAAACATAAGCTCTAAGGACATAAAGGATTCTCTTTGCAAATAATGATCTTGGCAAAAAGCCTCCTTTATGTACAGAAAGCTCTGTTCTTTGCCTATAGCAACTCTCAAGGCTACAACAGGTAATTGTGTACTGCTAATTAGGGTTACAACGATATGTTCAAGCCAAGAGATATTTTATAGCTCCATTCAGCAAAAGTAGGAAACTATATCAGCAAGGTCAAGTTATTAAACTCCAACAATTACTGACCTTTTGCTCTTATATAGAATTAATTTTAACATAAATATGTAAAGCCATTCAACAATTGGCTCAATGATTAATAGCTACTTTAATATTAGCAAAGGAAGGCAACTAGGAAAACTTTCTTACACAGAGTCAATGTGCTTATTTCTACAAAGTTAATTAAAATATCCACTTCATTAGCTAAATTGTTGCCCCGAGGTCACAACCCTCTTCCAAGAAAGCAAAGCAAAGTGATATCCATTCTTCTCAAAGTAGGAAAGTCAAATGAAGCACATTACCTTGTGTTACCTGTTGAACAGCCAACATAAACCCAGACACGGTATCTGGAAGCAAATTTTCTTTCAGATTGTAATGTGGTGCCCATTCCAAAATCGGTAGCCGCCTTCTGCACCACTGCTTAATATCTTCACAATGAGGGGTATGCATCTTGCTCCAGAGCACGCTTTTCTTTTTCCTTTTTGCCCCTGTCATTTTTCAGATTCACTCTTGTAGAAGCAAACTTCTTTAGACAAAAAAAAAAAAGTTGCAGAACACCTCCTTTCAATGCCAGACTTCAATTCGTCTGTGGTTTACAATGTCAAAGTCATCCAGAAAGCAATCAATGGGGGGGGGGGGGGGGGGGGGGGGGGGGAGAAATGGGGAGAAAGATGAAAATAAATGAAAAGAGAGAGGCATAGGAGATCGAGAGAGGTGCAAAAACAGGGGGAGATGAAGAGGGAAGAGAGAGAGAGAGAAATTAACAGAAACACTTAAATATATACAGCTGGACCCTATGTCTTATTATAGTGCAGCAAATTATTCCAGTTAAAAGATACAGATTAAAACCTGGAATTCTTATCTGAGTGGGATGGAGAAATGATTCCTGTTAAGTGATACTTTTCTGATCTTAGAAAAGTAATTGTTCGGTGTTAAGTTGATCTAGAGCTCTGTCGCCAGTAATTCCCCTTATATTCACTGTAGCCTTATGTTTTTGGCCACAATCCCAATGGCTAATGAGGTAGTTCTGGGCGTGTGTTGGAAGTGGGCTGGGTTATGCTAATGAAACCAGGAAGCATACAGCTAGTCCAATCTCTCCCGACAAGCTATGCAAAAACAAAACTGCCAGAGGGGTATGTTGAACAAAATGTATTCAGAGAATCTAGCCTTCTTCTTTGGGAAATATGGACTTTTAACTGTCAAACAACTGACTGTCAGTTCAAAATTCAGCAACATCAGAAGGCATTGCTAAATGTTATCTTTCTCATTGCCTGGTAAATCAGACTTTCATTCATATAGAAACATTCAGACAGTTACTGCCCAGCCTGGGAACAGAATAGCCAGTTGTCATAAACAAACTGAAATTTCATCTCATGGGCTAAGAAAGTAAGCTTCACAATGAACAAATATTTGTGGCTACAGTTCTTCCTTGTCTGAAAGTGTTCATTCAGTTTTCTCTATTTCTCTAAGTCATATAATTCACACACTCATGCTATTATAACTGAAATTTCTTTAAGATAATAAATATCTCAAAATGCTACTCGATGTATTCCCAACTTTTTTGTGTGTTGCCCTCTTTTCACATGACTTTTAGGGGGTTCTCACTCTTAAAAAGGATGTTGCATTTTCCAATAAAACAGACAAGCTGTCAAAGATTTTTATTTTATGATAGTTTCTCCCAGCCCCCAAAAGAAAAAAAGCTTGCATTTATGAGCTGGGCCATTGGAATGAAACCAAAAAGTCAAATATATTAACTAAAACTGTGAAGCCAAGAAAAAGAATACCATGTATATAGTTTGCTGCAGTCCTTTAAATGCCTATTTGTTCAGCAAGCAGGAATCTGATTTCTGGAAACTTTAGAATAACAAAGTACTTGGATCACTTAGATACTTCCAAGGTCTCCTGCTGTACTTTTTGCCCCATTGTTTTTAAATTAAGGTCAAGAGCCATTCTCTGACATCACTGACTTATTGTCTGTTAAAAAAAGTCCTTTCTTTTCAAACCAAATATATGTAAACATGTAGTGGCAATGTATGTACACTTTATTCATATGTAAAAATAGAAGTTGCTTTGTATTTTTAATTGTTTACATTATATTAGCATGTAATAAACTAGGCAATATTTCACATCTGAGGCTCCATTAGAAACTCAACTGTGACATTTTAAACCTATTGCCTTGATATGAGAGCTATATTCACAGGATAAGTAAATCAGCTTCTAGCAGAAATACTAGGTAGCTTTTCCTTCAGAAATGCAATCTTTAACTTTATTATATATATCCTATTCAACATTTATTTTTTAAAAAAAGCAGCTATGCGTGTTTGTGTGTGTGTGAAATTATACAAATAACAGCAGCTGATTGGTAATTTCAGTAATACTTTCAATTATTTTTCTCATTTCAACAGAATAGACTCAAATATATGACCTAGATATGCTTTGAAAAAGTACTTTTGTGTCTGTTTTGATTATGAAAATAATACATGCTCAGAATATATGTAAATATGTATCTAAATCTATGCTGACAAAAGAAACATAACTGAAGACAATTGAAGTCAATAATCAATAGCTATTATTTGTATATTTTCAATTACAGCTAAAAAACTTTGTGTCAAATATTAATACAGAATTCATATAAATGTGATTTTTAGATGAAAAGAATCTTTATGAAGTACCTAAACCTATTAGTGCTAGCAAATGTTCTAAAATATCCTAAAACAGGGATTAGAATAATTAGTTTGATGAACTGGTGTCTAGTTGCTCAAGCAAAAAGAAAGAATAAAATTTTGCTAAACAACCTTTATAAAGCACAAACATGGAATTTTAATTCTAGACTTTTTTTTCAATTCCATGTGCTTACACATTATTTTAAACATGCCAAAAAAACACTTCAAGTCTCGCCACCATCCCTACTGTGACCAGCAATACCAAAAACTGCTTATGAAATTTATGCACACACATAAGATCCTCAAAGTACTTTGATAAAGCCCATAAAACTCAGATTAAACATTTATTTAAAAGTTCCAATGATGAAAATTAGCTTAAAATTCAATACCACATATCATCTTAAAAGAAGCATCTCTTGCAAATTAAAACCACAATGAGATACCACCTCACCCCAGTGAGAATGGCACATCTTGAAACAACTAGCAACAACAAAGGTTGGCGAGAATATAGAGAAAAAGGAACTCTCCTGCACTGTTGGAAGGAATGCAAGCGAGTACAACCACTATGGAAAACTGTTTGGAGGTTTCTCAAACTGTTAAAAATGGAGCTGCCATATGACTCAGCAATCCTACTCCTAGGCAACATGGATGGAGCTGGAAGGGATCATGCTTAGTGAAATAAGCCAGAAAGCAAAATACTGGATGGTTTTACTCATAGCAGGAGTATAAAAGACCAGGAGTGAAAATAATAATAATAATGATGAACAAATATATACCAGAGATATTTTACAGGGGTGAAGTGGGGAATGGGATAAAAAATGGGGAGTGGGCGAGTGCACTGGACTATGGTGATGGCATATGGGTGAATTGGTGATGGGAAGCCCACAAGGATTACAAATGAGATGGAAAAAGGCACAAAATGATATAAAAATAAACTATTATATAATTTTTTTAAAAGACCCATCTCTTGCCAAATATACAATAAACACCTATCCAACTAAAAAGATGAACCTATCATCTACCTCCCTTATGGACCAACAGAAACCTTCCAAAAATATTTTGATCACATCGCTGACCTGTTTAAACTTCCACTGATCTCCAGTATAAAACTTAAACTTAGCACAACTCTCCCCTATTTCTTTACTCACTCTAACTTATTTCCTATCAACTATTTAATTCAGCAAGAATTTATTAAACAACCACAACTTGCTAGACTCTATGTAAAGTACTATGTAGGGAGGAGATTGTGTCTGTTTTCTAGAAGTTATCATTTACATTTACTAAAAGACATAGAAGAATGTATATGTCACTCAAAGCAGAATGGGGTAAATCAATAATGAAGAAATAAAATAAATGTCATGGGAACTTGGAGTAGGAGAGCTGCCTTCCCACTTTGAGGAGAAAAAAAAATTGTTCTCTCTCTAGACCCTCTGCTGGAGCAAATATTTATATTCACTATCGGCTATCCATCACTTTGATTCTTCAGTATAGAGTCTAAACTATTATTCCTAGCTCCACGATTTTTCCCTCATCTAATTATTTACTCAATATTTCTTTTCCCCTTGAAACTTTCATAATTTCCCCCACAGTTCTTTTCTTGTTGTGCACCTGGCATGTGGTTAATTCTTAAGCTGTTCACGAGTGGATAGTTTTTGCTGTGCATTGGTTTTCTACTTGAAATCTATTTCATGTGATCTTATCCAGTCTTGCTCATGAGATTGTAAAATCCTTGTGAGTGGAAATTATTAACATAATTTAATTTGCTCTTTCATTACGATTTAGTATAAGATTTGCAGCCATAATAAGAGCCAGTCAATAAATACTAACATGAATATACATATTCTTGATATTACCCAAGAATCATCTAATCGATCTCAGTCACTATGTAGGTTGTGCTGTTAGAGAATCAGAAAAACAAATGAGGAAAAAGAGTGAGAAACAGTGGAGGGAAAAACAAGGAGATATTATATCCTTACTTGTTCCGCTATCCCTGGTCTTTCACAATCTAAGGAAAGTTCTATCCTTTTCCAACATGATTTCTTTTCTTCTATTATGGAGTATAAAGAAAAGGACAATCTCATAGAATATGGAGAATGGAGAGAGGAAATGGGAGAATGATAAAAAAAAAAAGGAGAAGGGGAAGAGACAAAACAGAGATAGAAAGTCTCATGAACTGACATTTCAAAGAGTTTTGGGGTTTGGCTTGTGAGACCCTCTGAAGCAATGATCAAGAATGAGGTATTTGAACAGGTTTAAATAAGGAGTCTTTTCAGAATTGCTGTGCAGACTGTAGTTAGATCACATTTAATGGTTTTTGAGAGCCGCTAATAAAGATTCAAAGTCCTCTCACATTACTTTTGATGGTAGCATTATGTTCTTTGAATGTGATCTATGGGAAAACTAGGACACTAATTTTATTCCCATCAAAATTTCATTGATTGTCCATTTGTTTACATATACTCTTGGGGGATTACAAGTTCATACCTCAACCTACCCATATTCATTTGCCACTACCAAAGCTCCAGTCCGAACACACTATTACCTTACACTCTATACCCTCCTTCCTCCATCTGCAAACTCCTTAGGCTTTGCTGGCAACACCATAGTTTTCTAGAGTCTATGAGTATTTTTGTTGTGTTTTGCCAATTTTTTTCTTTGGTTATTTATATTCCACAAATGATAGAAAAATTAAGGTAATGAACTTTCACTTTATAATTTATTTCACATAGCATAATCATCACAGAATACACCCATATTTTCCCCAAAGGCACCATCTAATCTTTTTTTAATAGCTAAGTAGTATTCCATTGAGTACAAATACTATAATTTAGGACACTGATTTATATTGAGATCACACATGGAAATGAACCTCTGAAGTCATCAACTCCAAACAGGGATCTAGTCACACAGGTGAGCAACTTTTAATTTCTTATACCAGGTAC